TTGGTGGAGTTAAATCACGAGGAACCCATATAAGTATTTTTGACGCCTCCACCTTTAGTTTTTCTTTCTATAGGTCTATCAGCTCGAACTAGGAAGTTACAGGGACCCTCTCCAATTATAATACTTTATACCAAGTATATTGTCAGTTTTGTGCACCTCCTGTCCCCTTGAAAGTGAAACGCAAATGTTTTACATACTTCCTATAGCAGAATTCCGCCGCACAATGTTTAGATCGCCCTCAGAAGGAAATTGGAAAACTGCGTTCGCATGCACTCTGTGGATTTTACTTGCATCTGCCGATCCCACATCTTGTAACATGTGAAAATGGTATGCGGTTATAACAGGAAAAGCTTGAGTTGGCGTTGCCCTGATGATCTACTCAACGGTCTGAGGGCAGTAGTTTTAATTCCCGTGGTTGTTTAGTATGCTCCTTTCGTGTACCATCAAATCAAACACCCATACTGATTTTGTGTCAAGGAAATCGGGTTGGAGCATTGATTCATCGGACGACGCAACAAAGACAATTGAAAAAAAGCAGACCTGCAATTGGCGCTCGAAATGGAATGTAGACAATAAATTGTTAAAGACTGTTAAGAAGCAGAGGAAGTTCTACAAACCAACGAAAATAAACGAACTGGAATGCAAAACAATTACCGTCCACTAATGAGGTGATTTCAATAGATTGTTTGAAAAAGGGTGGGCGGTTTTTCATTCACTATGGATTTGCAATAAATGGTAATTGGCATTCCAGTATTTAGGAGTTACACGTGATTAGCGAAGACAGGGTATTGATATTGCACTGTCGATGAAAGTACGGGACGCAGCTAGACAGGGATCAATTCTCTAATGAACGCTCAGCTCCTAAACAAACTCCCATTACAAATATGTTAGCCTGCAGCCAATGATTAAAAATCCCAATTGGTTAGCGAGTTAGATTAACGAACGCTGGTGCCCGGGTTTGAATCCAAATGGTTCGGTGTACACGTGTATTTGATGATAATTTCTAACAAGGGGAAAACGGCTGTGTAATGCCTGTGAATCTTTTGAGTGATTAGTGACATGTGAATCCCGCATGAGGAATGAGACGCGTTTATATACAAACCAAAATTTTGACACTGCTTCATAGGGTGAGAAAATGTTTTATCCTATTGTATTATTGTACTATAGATGACTTGTGCAGGCGACTGTGCCCATATTTCAGTCACGCATGACCATGAACGCCTAGTTGACACTTGTCCAGCACAAATGGAATGAGTTCTTCCACTGTCATTGCAAGGTACTGGTCATTTGCGTCCAAAAAGGTGGCTGTTCTTATGAAAAAGACCTGGTTTGGCTAGAAGTGATTTAAAATATCTGACTGGGAGCGGATTGGTATCCGTGGCCGGGGTTAAAGTTAAATAGATTTTGTAGCGTTAGACGGCTTTTGAACGCAGGCTGGACGAGTCGTTCAAACAGTTCATTTGAATTGACCATCCTGTGACGGAAGGCAGTACAAAGAGAGTCCTGGCTAGCGACCGCATCAAGAGTGGGGCTCATCCGACCAGACGCGCAGACGCAGCGGCGGGAAATGCCTCGCGAGACAATGTTGACTGCCACCCGAAACTATATAATCGGAAGCATACACTGTTTGATTTTGAATTGGATCAATAGACGTTTTTCCCAGCCAGCTCGCCTTCTCGCTACAATCCTAGTGCCACCTAGGTTAAGCGTATTCGGATTCACGATTTCAGTAACCAACCTAATTGCAACTTGATAAAAATAAAGCACCATCACTACGAGAAATATGAACAATCTCTTTCTCGATGTGAAATTGTATAGAAAAACCAAGTAGCTCAACATTAGACTGTTTAAAGACCGGAAACAAATTTCGCCATATCTCCACAGTTTACGGTTTCTGCCGATGAGCCGTCGGTGTTGAATATGTTCATTTCTTGACCGTAACGGGATAATCGTCCATTGCATGTTTTGAATGTAAAACTTACCTGAGGAGGTATAGTGAAATGTTCCATGAATTAACTTGTACAGTGCTGCGACGCTCTCTTCTCTGCCGAAGATGAGACTATTTCAAATGATGATCTGCTTTGAATTTGTCAACCAATTTTTCTTTATTGACGCATTAGGTTTCAAGTGGGGAATTTCGCTTTGCCTCTCATAATTATGATTTGTAATTTTTCCAATTTAAGGTGGGCTTCTGGTACATTTTCTGTTCATAAAACAGTCATATCCTAGGTTTGTTTTGGTCTGACTTTCTGTCAGTATACTGATGGGAATCTCGATCAGTTGGTTTTAGTTTCAGCCCGACTGTCTCGGCCGATGATTGTTTTTACTTTTTTTCTACATTTAGTGGAAGAGGTATGGGTTAAGGAACGAGCATAGTTAGGTAATTTTGAAAAACAACTCACTGGACAATGCTAAAATAATTATTTTAATTATCCTTTACTTAATTCAACCGGTGATTAGTTGCCCCGAAGGGAACGTAAACCTTGCTTTATTATGCTTGAATGATCGAACAAGCCCTCGTTAAATATTGTCGAACAATTGGCTTCCCTTCGTCCGCGCTAAATCCGACTGTTTTTGGAACAAAGTAGCAAGATTGGTTTCAAAACGTTGGTGAATTTGTTCAGCAATTTCAGTAAATATTTCGATTTGTGCGTGTCGCAATCGAATGAAAATTGACAGGTTGTGATAACCGGTTGCATACTACTAGACATCAACCTTTCTCATTACGAGGAAAGACAGATTATTTCTTTTTGCGGTCAGGAACAGGTTTTTTATCTGGATTTATCCTGCTGATAGTAGACAATCTTTTAACTGAAAACCGGTAAAACCTCATAATTGATACAACGGTAGTAATTATCAAGCTGAGAATAATGACCGTAGGTGGATAGCAAAACAACACTTTGGTGTTTTATCCATTCATTGTATATACCATATTGCTGTTTTCAGCCAAAATGTTCAATAAATTGAATAATCACCGCTCACAATCCAAGGCACGTTAAGGCAACACCGGGCTAATGAACACGTTCGTCGACCAGATGATAGAACTATCAGGGGGCGATTGAAAACGTACCGATTATTGTTCGATTCCTCACTGTTCAGACTGATAAAAAAGAATAGGATAAAAATGATCAGAGATTGCTGATGGAAAATACCGCATCATGATAGACTTGTTCCCACAGCAAGTGCTGCTTCAGCATGTTATCGATTAACACCTCCACTATCTGTTACCGAAGTTTTTGATCTCATTTGTGGAACCAACATGCATTATCGTAATTTGGTGCAAGTTGTTAAATTGGGTTAGAACATCCTGTTTTCGTGATTCGTTTTGTTTCATTAGAATTCAAGTTCATTGTCAGATGAAAACTGAATCATTCAAAACGACCTGTACCACTAGAACTGGTCGGGGTTCCAATTCCACTCGAGGTTTGTGCTTCATCGTCTCCTCAAAGTGTTTCTTTCTGGCCCAGAGCTGTTGGCGCCCTCAAGCGATATGTTCTGCCGATACATTTGTCTATTCACTTCAGTTATTTTCACTGAAATATAACTCCCGGAATTCTCCTGTTTGTACGAATTGCCAGAAAACGTCGAGAAATGGAGAAGGATTACAAGGATCGAAATCTTGAACTGGATTTGAGGGAGAAAAATTTGGTGGAAAAGGAGCAATTGTTTGAAAGTCAAATTCAGTCGGAATTACAAAAGTGGGTCATGACTGGTGTTTATTACAGTTTTTTTCTGATTGTTTATTACTTTAGAACTAATAAATCTGAGAACGTACTTTCAATGTGCTTTTTCCAACCACGTGATTGGAGATGATATAACGATTGGGGGATATTACAAATCCTAACCCGATAATGGTATGGTGATTCCAAAATACAATATTCAGAAGGTAAATTAAAACTGAGTTGAAATAGAGAGTGGTACTTGTCACGCGAATACTACCTTCAGCTTTTGGCATCAACTAATGGATAGAAACAAAGTCCCAGTTTAGTAAGCGCAAAACGTACAGGAGCAGTCCTCATCAGGTCTATCCGGTCATTTCATAAAAGATTATTGGAATCAATGAATCAAATGAGGAAACGCCTGACTG